GTAAAACACTCGAGAATTTCAAAGGTATGTGTAAGAATTCGGCCTCGGACATTGCATCAAAGCCCAGATCTGTACTACTGCTGCCGCTCAAAGAGATGCGCGAAGTTCTGCCTGCAGCAGTGACAGTGCTCTGCCTCGCAGAGTGCAAAGAGCAAGCTGAAAATTATAGGCAGGGAGAAGTGCCAGGGTGTTACAATGCTAATCCTTGCTGAGACAACAACTTGCGTTGGAGGCTCGCGGAGAGCCCGAAATTTAATTTCGGGAAGGAAGGATCTGTAAACAATATAGCCGAGTTGATAGAAACCCGCCTCACAACAGTCTGCCAGAAGGTGAATGTCAGATCAAAGGAGAAGTTGAAAAGATGCCCTTTCATAATTTTTTTCCCCCTTCATCAGCCATGGAAACTTCATGACTCCATAAAACATGTGATGCTTTGCTGGGGAGACAGCCTACAGTTTCCCCTCAGAGAAAGCTCCTCTCGCCCACCCCTTGCTGTTAACTCTTGGGGTTTGTTTCTCTCGGCGGTTTTTTCTTTCCTTCTTCTTTCCTCCACGGTGCCCAAGCCATACATAGCCGTACTCATTTCATATCACACACAAACTGTTATGCTCTTAACTTTCCACCCCTCTTCCTTAACAGGAACCAAGTCAGGAAATGAGGCACAAGACTCCCCTTGTAATGAGGAAAAGAAAACGACTTTACAGAAACATCCTGGAAAAGTCAAGTAAGTTAAAATATGTCTATTTTTCAGTTCAAAGGAGACAATATTTTTTTCAGCTTAGTGTTTAACATACTTGCATAAACACAAATCAGCGACACAACACCCCACCAGCAGCTGCCTAATCCTGCTGAATGCCTATTCATTTGGAGGTTCTAGAATTAATATTTGACGACTCTCTCATTGAAACAACAACCCCTGACCCCCAGTGATTGCACTGTCACATTATTCTATGACATATTCATCTTGAATTCATTTACGGACGATTTGATTGGAATGAGGTTTGACATGTATTGGATCCTATTAAAGAAGAAGACTTTGATCTTGTTGATGGGGTTTACATGATATGTATCATCTTTACCAGGGCTACTAGGCTTCTACAATGTGGTGTCTAAGTAGTTAGTGACTGACAGCTTATCTGACAGGAATACCTTAATCTTGAGGTGCTGAATGAAATATTCTATTTAAAATAAGCATATGATTTGCTCGTCCTAGGGTAGCTCTAGGTCACAAAAAGTAAGAGACAAACCTAGGCACAAGTCCTTGCTCGTCTGATGGCTGAATTCCCTGAAATAAAGAAGCCCCGTCTGCGGGAATGGGGCGAGGTAATAGGAACAAAGGGAGAATGCAATCCCGAGCCGCTCGGTGCCCCTCTTGGCGAGGAGATGCCGAGGGTACCGGCAGGCTCTACCGAGCCATTCCCCCCGAGCAGCGGTGCCTTCTCCCGGCTCAGCCATTGCCCACACGCCCTCCCGGCCCATCGCGAAGCTGATGGCTGTGGTATCGCACGGGAACGCAGCTCGGTCCTCTCAGTTTCTCTTCATTGTTGTTGTTGTTTGTTTGTTTGTTCTTTTAATTATTTATTTATTATTCCTCTGAGTAAATATTAGGATTTTCAGATTAATCCTTTCCTCCAGTCCAGGAGTTGAAGCCTGTAAGGTAACTCCTAGAAGCTGCTGTGTGGGGATTTAAGGGCATACCCTCAGAGCCCGGATCGGAGGGGTTCTGGCCGGCTCATTGAGCAGGGAACTGTGCTCAGGGGTGGGAGGGCACGGCCGAGGGGCCGGAGGTCAGAGCCCGGGGCAGGACCTCTCCTAACATCGAGCACAGCTCTAGGGGGGAGCAGTATTTGGCCCCAATTCAAAGAGCACAACACGAGCAGTCCCGGTTTCCTGGGGCTTTGCCTGTCGCCTTCACAGAAAGGTAGCAATAGGGAGAAGTGACTTACTACGTCGGGGAAATTCACAGCAAAACCATAGTAGCTCTGTAAACCGCTCGGCACAGCCAGGACGGCCCATCCCCGGGTCTCTGAGGTGCTGGGCTTGTCCTGCAGGACGCGGTGCGGGCAGTGCCGGGGGCTTCGTGTTGCAGACGCCCGCCCATAGACAGGGGCCGTAGGACCGGGGAGAGCCGTAGCCCTGGGGCCAAGGAAAGGAGAAAGGTGCCTCGGAGTCATCTCAGAGGAAAAAACCCGGGTGTATCGCTCCATAACCTGTCAGCTCTCTGGAGCAGACCATCAACGCAGGCAGGCTTGAGGACAGCTGCTAGGAAAGTTGTACCGAGCACAGAACTGTCAGGAGCACACGTTGATTGCCCCTGGATCTGTCACCAAGAGAGCACCGAGGTTCCTCTGCACTTCATTCTATCCTAAGGTCCACCCTAAAAGATCTCATTGTCCTAGCACTGGACCTACCCTGATGACTGGCTCAGTTTGAACGGAATGTTTCTGTTTTGCTGCTTGAGCATTGCTGCCTTCTGCCTGGAAGTGTTCAGGTTCATCCAGCTTAGCAGTCCCGGGGGGATCCAGAAGGGGATGCCCATATCGTAGCCAGGTGGGTGGAAAGGAAATAATAACAATAATAATAAAACCTTGGCCACGCACAGGCTGATGTTGACACAGTTGAGCGTTTGCCGAGCTCATCTGGTCACACACAGCTCGCAAAGCTGCCAAGAGCAGGAAACCTCTCTCACCCCTCGAGCGGCAGCCAAAGGGCCGCTTAACGGCGCTCAGGATTCCAAGCATCCCGCGAGCAGCGCCGAGCTTCAGCCCCGCTGCCCCCCGCCGTGCTGCCCTTCTCTGCCGGCACCGGGAACCCCGCCCGCCCCCCGGGACAGCGGGATCGGGGCTTATTCGCTGTTGCAAGCGGGACTGGGAGCGGGGTGCGAGCCGAGAGCCATCGGTGTCCAAACAGAAAACACTGCAGTAACTGAAGTGAACGCAGGGCAAATCCGGTTAGAACATCTTTAATAGATAAACTGTTCCAGATGTATTCTCTCCTGCCCGAGAAGTGTCAGAATTACTGGATAACAAGTATGTAGAGGTGGAAGGTTTTCGGGAGGTTAGGGAAAGCAGCTTTGTTTGGAATTCACGCTCTCAGTGCATTTGTAAGTAACAGATTCGTACTTCCTAACGTGTGTCTCCTGAGCACTCCTATTGAGTTGCTCATGAATAGGACCGCTAAAGCCATTCCCTAGAGCCAGTAGTTGGAAGTTAAGATACTATGAGGATGGCGTGTGCTGTAAAATGCCTGTGTAAACATGCTCTGTAAGGATGGAGAGCTGACAGCGTCATTTGCCACTTTTCATCATATCTCCACTCAGATAGATGTACATGATTATGTTCCTACAGCCAGTGACCATAGTATTACTTCTGTGCTATGGGGGAAGTAGAGCGAGAGCCAAAACTGCAGCCAGGCAGCATGCTAGGCTGTGCCAGGAACATGTCCTATGTGATTCTGGGTGTCTCATGTTTACATCCTATCGTTTCCACTCGTTGGCTAGTAGCTTCTGTTCTGAGAGCAGCTGCCTTGACCGTGCAGAACATTTTCATATTTTGCCACTTACTGTAAAGCTGATAAATTTGTGTGGAAGTGTGGAAACCTGTAATGGGAGCTTCATCTGGTGTGACAGAGAGCATCCATGGGGAAGTGACAGCGAGACAGGTACCGAGCTGTGGGAGCCAGGCTTAGGGAACTAATTGCTTCTTTCCCTTGCTCACTGGCAGAGTCCTCTGTGGTAGGACCCCAGATCTGGTGCTGCTGTAGGCAGCTACTTACAGTTGTGTTTCTTGTTCTCAAAGCACACACTGTCTTTCACGTGTCTTCTCCCACCATCCCCATTTTACATTGAAGTGGGAGCTTCCTTCTACACCCTGAGCTTATCTAAACCTGTCAGGCCTCAGTGCACGGAGCCTGACTCTTAGCTGGCAGCTCGCACCCCTCGGTTGTGCTCTCTCCTCCAGGTGAGAAACACAGAACGGAGGCGTTACGGGTGTGTTGTGATGCTTCTCATCAAATCGAGGATGGGGATTTACTTATAAGTGTCAGAGAGAGACAGGAAGGGAGATACCCCTTCTTCTGGGTTAAGAACTCAGACTCAGCCCCAAACACCACGATTTCTCCCATTGCCCGAAAACCAACAACCGTGTAACACCAAAACTCGCCCGAGGTGGTGAGCGCAGCTTTTTCGAGAGCCCTTTGCGCGGCCGAGAGCCGCAGTACCAACCCGAGCACGGGGACGCTGCACAACCCCAAGGGGAGGCTCGCGGGGCTGCGCGTGGAGGCGGCCGCCAGTGAGCGCCGGGGCCCCAAACAAAGGAGGAGGCCGAGGGGAGCGGCCGGGGCTTTCCCACCGGGGCTCTCCCTGCCCGTCGGGGCTTTGTTTACCCGCACCGGAGGCCTGGCCCGGCGGCGGGACCGGGGGCACGCTCCTGTCACGGCCCCGGCCCCCGGCGGGGCTGCGGGAGGGCGGCGGGCCGGGGGCAGCCGGCGGCAGCGCATGCGCAGTACGCGGCTCCCCGCAGCCCCCCGCCCGCGCCGAGCGATAACCCTCGGTTCGGCGGCGGGACCTGTCAGCGGTGACGCCACGACGGCGGCGGCCAATGGGAGAACAGGGCGATTGTTTGGCCGCGGGGCCGTGCGCGGCAGCCCGGAGGCGGCGCGGTCCCGTCCCGCGGCCGCGCGGCGCGGGTCTGCGGGGGCCCGCGGAGGCCGGGCCGTGAGGGGACCTCCCCGGCCTCAGCCGCCGCCAAAAGCGAGCCCCCGCCACCCCCGCGCAGCCCACCCGCTGACACCGTGCGCCCCGCCGCCGGAGCAAGCGGGACGGGAAACTTTTGGGGGGAGAAAGAAAAAAAAAAAGTTTTCCTCCCCCTTCACCCCCCTCGCTTTTTCTTTGCTTTTTCTTTATTCCCCCCCGTCCCCCACCGTCTCCCTCTCCCCTCCGCTGTCAGATGGCTTTTTAGCGTTAACAGCTAAAGAGTGTGGGTGCTCCGGGGATCCCAGTGATGGACCCCGCTGCTCTTTGCGGGCGGAACGCGGCGCTGAGATTCGTTGACCCGGGGGGATCTCTACGTCCCCATCTCCGCCACCCCCCGCAGTCCGTGCCACGCTGCCCGGGCCTCGCCGCGCACCCCCCCGCCGCCGGGTCCCGCCTCGGCGGGCCGCACCAACACATGGGGCACCGCCACCATCCTCATCTTCCTCCTCAGCATCACCTCGCATCCCTAAAGCTCGGCCCTGCCCCTCAGCCCCACCGCCCGCGCCCGGCGGGCTCGGCCCAGCCGCTCTCCGGTCACACAGAAGCGTTCGGCCCGGCGGCGGTCCCCTGCCCCGTGTCCCATACAGCTGCGGTCAGGGACTCGGCCATGCCCGGGCTGAGCGAGCAGCACCCCGCTGCCCGATCTCACCACGGACTGTTTGTCTCGACAACAGGTAGCTGCCCCGGACACCGCGGGCACCACCGCCCCTCGGAAGCCGGGAATCCCGCGCTGTTCGCTGGACTCCATGAGCAGCCGCCCCGTGCAGCTCCAGGTGGCCATCTAAACGGACAGATAAGGCTGGGGTTACCTGGAGAAATGTACGCCAAAGCTGAACATTTCACTCCAGTGCCAGCCTCCAGGACAGAGCCTTTTGCTGCTTCTTCGCTTCATAGCTACGGTGGCATGAACCTGAACGTGAACCTGGCTCCGCACCACGGCCCGGGGGCCTTCTTCCGCTACATGCGGCAGCCCATCAAACAGGAACTCATCTGTAAGTGGATTGAGTTGGAGCAGACTCCCAAAAAATTATGCTCGAAAACTTTCAGCACGATGCACGAGCTGGTGACTCATGTCACCGTGGAGCACGTTGGAGGACCCGAGCAGTCCAATCACATATGTTTCTGGGAAGAGTGCCCGCGAGAAGGGAAACCTTTCAAGGCCAAATACAAACTCGTAAATCACATCCGAGTCCACACAGGTGAAAAACCTTTCCCCTGCCCTTTCCCAGGCTGTGGCAAAGTGTTTGCCAGATCAGAGAATCTCAAAATACACAAAAGAACTCACACAGGTCAGTATGGAAAGCTCTCTTTACTCTCTGTATTATTCAGCGTACTGTTTTGCTTTATTTTCTTTTGAATGTGTCCTTTGCGTTGTTGTTGAATGCACGCCAAGTCCTTCCAGAAAATAAATTCTCGAATTTGTTTGCTTCTGTACCGCTTGGAGGGAGGGGGAGAAGATGGGGGGAAAAAAAGGTGAGCGAGAACAAATCTCGGCATTCTCGTCCACGTTTTTTTTTTTTTTTTTCTGGTTTTGTGGCTGTGAGGTTTGTGCGGGGAGAGCTGTGACCATACCGAGTGGTAGAGCTATTGCTGCTGCTTCACACGGGCATGGATTTCTTTCTTTTCTTTCTTTCTTTCTTTTCTTTTCTTTTTTTTTTTTTTTTCCTTTCCTGTTGGCAGTTTAATGTAGTTGGGGAAAAAAAATGAAATCATTGTGCAAGCTCCCAAATTAAAAGTGAACAATAGGACTTACAACTTGTCTGGTCAGTTTTGAGCGATGTCGCTGAGATGCTGCTGGTCGAACGTTGTGAGAATAACACAGCTGCGACCTTTTCGTTCAACAGTTTTGTTTTGGGCAGAGGGAGTTTCAAATGTTTGATCTGAATAACACTGACATATTTCATGAGCATTGCCATCCACGGACTCTGTGCGCTCGCAGATACGGGGAGCTGCAAGTTCTGAATCTCGGGAGGGAAAAAAGAGAAGAACCCCCTGTATTGTTTCGGCCTGTACGGCTTGAGATGTCATTTGCAGATCTGTGAAGCGAAATTGGGACATGTGTCGGGAGCGTCTGTTGGTTCTGGCTAACAGAAATAAAGTCACTCGCTGGACGATCTCTCAAAACTGCCTTTGAACTCTTCCGGCCAGGAAAGCATTTATAATTAATGAAATGACACGTAGAAAGTTTTCACACTTTCAGGAGCAGCTTGTGAAGTTGTATTAATTAGTTTAGCAGCCGGTGTTTGTAGTCTGTGGAGTTGGGTTGTGATTTTTTTCCCCCTTTTTTCCCCTCTTTTTTTTTTTTTTTTCTCTCTCTTTTTTCCTTTTTTTCTTTTTTTTTCTTTTCTTTTTTTCTTTTTTTTTTTTTTCCTAAGGACGATAAGAAATAAACCCTTTTTGGAACATTTAATCTGTTCCAGTGTCGGGTTTTCCACCCCCACCCCCTCCTGTACTGCCTTATGCACTGCGAGGGAAACTCCATAATCCTATTGTAAGATCTGCTTACAGCCAAACGATTTTTTTCGCCCTCCAGTTCCTAAAAGTCCCCTTCCCCCCACGCTCGCTGCGGCCCGACCTTCTAGGAGCCGCGTTTTTACGATACAACCCGACGTGCTGTAATATGCATGACATCTATCCTAATTTCGTATCGTATCGCCTAAACATAGCGCGGAGGTTTTACAGCGAGCATCACTCGTCACCTAATTATTTTTCCATCGCTCTGTGAGTAGCTCATCTGGGAGGGGGTGGGAGGTGGGGGGGCAAAGAGGAGCTGGGTTCCTCTCTTCGTTCTCGGCCGCTTTGCGAGAAGAAAGGAGCGGCCCCGGGTCACGCAGCTTGCGGCCGGATCTGAACAGGTACAGCCTTCGCCCGGCGGAGCTCATCCCTTAATGACGGCGTTTTTCTTAAGTAAACAAACTTTTACTGCTCTTTAACGGCCTCACTGTTTGAAGTCTCTGAAGCAGAAAATGGTTAAGTTCTTGGGGAAAGTGACCTACATCGGCGAGGCAGGTTCAGGGCAGAGCCGCTATCGGAGCCGTGCGTTTATTAAACATAATTCCGCGCGTCTGTACTTTTCACTTTAACGTTCCCGGTGATTAATTGCTGTATTGTGAAAACTCCTGCGGGGCCTTTATGGTTCCACCGTTTCTATTAAACACCCAGAAGTTGTCAAAAGCGAAATGTTTCTGAAACCCTCATAGAACTCGCTACAAATTATTCATGAAGACAGTTCTAGATTCAACAGGAAAATTATTGCCTCCTCAAATATTAATGACCGCCGCTCTCTGCGGGGCCGGGGAGGGCTCTCTGCCGGGGCTCTGCTCCCCAGGCCCGAGGTTCCCGTGAGCCCGGGGTGGGGGTGGGGGGGCCGGGCCGGCTCCCGGCGCTGCCTCCCGGGGCCCTCTGCGGGCCGTGGGGCGCTGCCCGCCGCCCCCGTTCCCCGCCCGCAGCCCGAGGCCGCCGCCTCCGGCCCCCCGCCCCCCGGAGAAGTTGGTAAATACCTTAATCCACTCCCGGAGACGGGGGATTATGCCACAATTTCCGAGCAGAGGACGGTTTTGCGCAGCTACAAGTGGGGGGGGTAACATGGCGGGTTGGGTCCTGCGCTTTTCCGTCGCCCGGAGAACTCTCTGAGCGTCCGCATCGCCGCACCTCTGTACCCGGGCCGCCCTGGGAGGACCGCACCGTGTCCTCTTCCCTGCGGGTGGGGTTCCCACGTAAGAAAACCCTCTCTCAAGAGAGGAATACAGCTCGGCCGGCTCCTCTTTACCGAGGCGTTCCGAGAATGCAACCCGGGCGGCTGCGGAAGCGCTGCCCTCTCCCCGCTGCTCTCTGACTGCACGAGGGCTGCTCGGCGCCTCTCTCACGGGGTTAAGCGAAGTTTAACGTTTTGCAACTCCGGAGGAAGCAGAACGCGCCGCAGCCGCCTTTACCTGATTGTAACTCACGTTGCACAACCGAAGCGCTTATGAGGATGGCTTTCCCTGGGGCCTCCTAACTTACTGCTTGCTTGTACTACACTAATATCCTTGATTTGTTGTCTCAACGTAGATGCTGAAGGTCAAATTGTTGCCTTACGTGAAGCTGTAATTAGATTATATGTGTGCGTGCATATGCGCTGCTGTATACAGACAGCATTTGGTTACGGACCCGCATTAATTTCTTCGAGACCTTATTTTTAACCTCTCCCCCTTCTCCCCGATGCCAGGTGTTTACCAATCCTCTGTGCAAATGTTAGCGGAGACCGTCAGTGGGTATTCCGGAGGAAAGGACACGCTCGAAGCGCGGAGCCGTGAGCCTTTTCCCACCCACCTTGCATAAAGTGCATTCATGTGAAATATTTGGAATGCTTTCCTTTATGTGCTCGTGCTCACAGCCAGCGCGAGGTGGGCTGCGCCCCTCCGAAATTCGATCGTGACGATCCGCGAGGGGATAAAAACCGCCAACAAATTAAAAACCAGAAGCCCAGAGCTTTTACAAATGTGCCGGGTCCCTTCCGCCACACACGCCATGATGGGAGTACAGGGGCTTTGTTTGTACTTGACGATTAGGGTTCGGCTGCACATCTCGTGGTGTCTCCCTCGCCCCGATACTTTTTTTGCTTAAGGGGATGAGTTGGCTTTTCTTTTTTTTTTTTTTCCCCACCCGGCTGCTGCAGAACCTGAGCGTTCCTTGCCAAGCTGGGTTTGCAGTGTGCCATTGTCAGTGACAATAACGCAGTCGTCATTTCAGCCCGAAGCTCTCCGTGGCACGTTTCCTGGAAAGCTGCCTGTGTATCGTGTACCGTGCACGGTCTGCACCATCCCAACTTATGCGTGACTTTGGCATCACAATTATATTTCAATTCTGCTTAACGTCACTTATCATATTACCCGACAAATTAATCCCGATTGCGATTCCTTCCATGACTGAGTAGGTTCAAATGAAAAGAGAATGCTGCCCCAGACAGAGCAGTGCCCCGGCCTACTCTTTCTCCTGCTGAATCCCTCTCGTTTCGCCCACACCATCGATGTCTTTTAGAAAGATTTTGTGCTTTGCCCTACTGTGTCAGCAACTGGGGAGCGGGGAAGGGAGGGGGGACGCGGTTCTTCCGCGGGATCGTAATCAGTGTGAGAAAGGAGTGCACGAGATGTGATCTGGTGAGGTGACGAATAATATTTCCACGTGCACCTCCGGGAGTGTGAGAAATGTATTTAACGTAAAAACGCTCCCAGAGATAAATCACTGCCCGCTCTTTCTGCAGGACACCGGGGTCCTCAGGGACAGCGCGCATTGTTTACCCGGAACGAGCACATCGCATCGAAGTTTTCCTTATCTGGGGGCTTTGTCTGGCGCACAAAACCCCACGTTGACACTGAGGGCAGGGGCGGGAAGAGCGGCCCCGGGCCGAGCGCTCCCGCTGCGGAGCCGGATGGGCATGAGGGGAGCGTGGCGGGGAAGGGCCGGGGCTGGCGGGGCCCGAGAGGAGCGGCCCCGGGGGAGCCTTGCGGGGCCGAAGAGGATGAAAGCGGGGTCGGGGTGCGGGGGCTGCCCGGAGGCCCCCGTGCTAACGGCTGTGCTCTCTCTTTGCCACCCGCAGGGGAGAAGCCGTTCAAATGTGAATTCGAGGGCTGCGACAGACGCTTCGCCAACAGCAGCGACAGGAAGAAGCACTCGCACGTCCACACCAGCGACAAACCCTACAACTGCAAAGTGAGAGGCTGCGACAAGTCCTACACCCACCCCAGCTCCCTGAGAAAACACATGAAAGTGCACTGCAAATCCCCTCCTCCCAGCTCCGGCTACGAGTCCTCCACGCCCTCCTTGGTGTCCCCCTCCTCGGACTCCGGCCGGGACCCCCCCGCCTCGTGTTCCCACGCCGAGCCCTCCGCGCCCGCGCCGCCCGCCGCCAACCTGAGCGAATGGTACGTGTGTCAGGGCCGCCCCGCGCCCCCCGCCGCCCCGCCGCCCCCGCGCCCCGCCGCCCAGCCCCGGCCCCGCTGCTAGGGAGCGCGGCGGGCGACGGGAGCGGGAGCGCGGCCGCGGGCAGCCGGAGAGGAGGGGACGGGCCTTGGCTTCGGCCCCGGGGAGGCAGAGCCGTGCTGCCGGACCCCGCTGCTCCCGCTCGGCCTGGCCAAGCTGCCTCCTTCCTCCGAGCGCACCTCCCGCTGATCGCCTCGCTCCCGCCTGGCCATAAGCGCACAGAGTTGCAGCAGCCGTTTTCTTTTCCCTTTCCTTTATCCTTTATCCCTTTCCCTTCCCTTCTCTTTCCCGCTCCCCACCCACAGTGGTTTCACAACAGATTCGCAGCTGTACAGGTTTTCTCTTGTCAACAGTGTCTCGTGCTGAAGTGTTCTGCTGGTCCTCTACTTTCTGTGAGAGCGTTGTTCTGTTTTTTAAAAAAAGAAAAAAGTATATAAACATTTGTTACCGAATTGTACATAATTAATCCATTAAATTCTTTCGTTAATTAACTCTCTCGATGGACGTTTCTGTAAAGAATCTCCCACCGTTCCCTGCAGCAGTACGTAACAATACATACAGCTATCTATTTCCCCCAGTGCCTAACACAGGCGGCCCAGGCGGTGTGGGGCTGCACGTTCCTTCGGCGCTGACTCCCCCAAATCCTCCTCTCTTCCCCCCCCCCCCCCCCCCCCCCCCCCCCGGGGGGGTCTGTCTGGTTGGGGTTGTGGGGGCTGAGGGCAGAGCCGCCAATGACGTCACGCAGCGGGTGGGGGCCCAGTGCCCCCCGGCAGAACGGGGCCGGGGCCGCTGCTGTACGGCTGTGCCCTGCGGAGCGCTCCCGGTGCCGGTGCTCGCACAGCGCGGCTGGGGCATGGCCCGGAGCTTCAAGCTAGACCCTACACAAACATACACGGCTCACTCCTCTTGGCGAAATAAAGGAGGAAAGAGGAGGGAAGAAAAAAAAAAAAAAAACCAAAAACAACAACAACAAAAACAACAAAACAAGCACACAAAAGCCTCCAGTGGGGTAGCTTGAAACTGCCGAATGGTACCGTTTTAATTACTTTAATGATGTTTAAGAATAGCAGATACTATAGGCAAATAAATAGCACGGGCTGCTGGAAGGGTTTCCCACGGCTTGCTGGGTGCGGAGGGGCTGCTGTGAGCTCTTTCCCTGTGCCCCGTTCACCCCCTCCGCCCAGGTGGCTGCGGCTGTGTCCGGCAAACACACGCGCACATACACACGTGTGTGTTTATAGATGTCAAGATAAAAGCGAGAGGAAAACAGATAGGCGGTTAGTGGCAAACCCAGCCCCTCCTGCTGCAGCCCGATGCTGTTCCCAAGGCACCACGTCCCCACTTCACCAGCGCGAACCTGGCAACTTTTGGGGTTTGTATGCCTCGCTCCTCGCCGTGTGCCAGGGCGAGAATGCACCGCTGGGCCGGGGGAAATGGGTGCGGAGCTCACGCTGGGCGCTGCTCCCTTCTGCCACGCAGCCCCAAAGTCACACCTCAGAACCGGAGCCTGCTGCGGGCAGAAGGCTGTGTCCATCCTGTCCCCGGCTCCGTTTAGTTCTTTATTTCTCTATTTCCAGAAGTGTTGGATGTGCAGGCTAATCACCTTTAATTTTTCATTTGCTTGTTACAGATGTCTGCCCCGTTGCTCTCAAGGTAATCTAGACAGACGCAGCTGAAAGCCTGAATCTTATGCCTTAGACATCAAAGAAAGCTCGCACAAAGAAGTATTTCTTCACAACGGTGAATCTTCATGGTAAGTTAGGATTTCTATGGCAATAGGCAAGTCATACTTAAATAGTGAAAGGCGAAGTCTGGAGCCCGTCCAGTCTTTTCATTAAGGACATAATATTTACGTCTAACGGGCCCTTTTTCTTGTGTATACAAGTATATATTTTTGTTTGACGCCAACTAAATCATTTTCATTTAATTTCCGGTAAACAAAACCCACGCGAACGGGGCACTTGTTCCAGATCATAATAAAAATGGATAAGAATGTCGGGAAGAAAAGGCCCGCCTGAACCGCCGCCTCGGCTCACTTTTGTTTCTGCTTTCTGCCGGGATCAGAGAATGCGTTTGGGATTTGAGGGCGAGTTTCTAAAGGCAAGGAAATGGTTTTTAAGGGGGAAAAGAAAAGGAGAAAGGTCTAATCAAGCTCGGGTTGTTCAAAGGGCCTGATTTTGGGGTTGAAAGTGTGAGTTTTATGGTGCATCAGCATGCCACGTTAGGATCGCTATGGTAATGAGGAGAGCAATAGCAAGCGGCCTTCAAAGGAGGCACACTCCATTTGAGACAGTCTATTAAGATACATTTGCACTGACCTTTGGTTTCATGCTAGCTTAATACACTCAATCTGCCCCTCGCTACGGACATGCTTCTTCCACCCAAGGCCCTTCTGCGGGGCTGGGCTCCGCCGGGCTTCACCCTCGACCCGAGCGGGCTCCGCTCCCCTCATCCCCCAAAAGGGGCAGCTCCGGGCTCTGCCCGCGCTCCCCTCACCCCCATCCCCCCGGTAGGACGGGGAAGAACCCCTCTGGCGACCGCCCCACGGAGGGGCTGCGCCGGGGATGTCACCGCGACCCGCGGCTCCGCTCAGGGCTCGGCTCGAGGGACCCCCCCGCAGCCCCCGGGGGCGGGGAACTTGACACCCGCACGGCCGGGGCCATGGGCGCTGGGCCATGGGCCCGGGAAAGTTAGAAGTCCATGTTCCAGTAATTGTCTTGTTGTTTATTTTATCCAAGTACCCTGGTGAATAGGGGAAAAATAAACACGGTGAAAAAAAAATTCAAACAGTTGAGTCGTCTTTAGTGCCAGCCCTTGTGGTTGAATAAAAAGGATGGTCCAATTTCTATTGAGCTGAGAAATCTTTGAAGTGGGAGTTATTATCTGAGAAATTCCTGCTCGTCGTCCTAACAACGCTGATGAAACGTAAAAGGTTCTTTGTCAGCGATTTGTTCTCCTCTCTGTCAAACTCACCCTGCCCGTTGGCTTTAAACCGTTTCTAAAGAGATAAAATTAAACTTTTAAAGATAACTTTGGGGGCCCAGAGGGTGCGGAAAATACCAAACTACCGAATCCTGTGTATAGACATACATCTGGATCTACGTGGCTGCGTCTGTGTGAAACTGTCTGCCTACAGATGTCCGTAGATGTCTGTATGACCTTACTGCTCTAAAGTTGAAATGATGTCCATTTTGGCATTTTATCCTCTGAACTTTTCCGTCTAATAAATTATTCCTCCACATGTGCTGCGCAGAATGCAGCTCCTGAGAGAAGGCAGAAACGTTGGGTCTCGTTGCCACCAGTATGTGACCAACAAACGTGTTCTTTCACTAGAATGAAAGCAACAGCAAAGACATCAGAGTGAAAGTCTTTGATCATTTCAACAGTCCGAATACCTATTAAGCGTGTATATACTGCGATGTATCGAAGTGGTTAACGCATTCAAAGCGATGGCTTCCATATGCTCCCATGTTTTATTGTCCGTAAGTGTAAAGATAGCCCAACTGCATCCCTTTTGTATCTTCATTTGATAAACATCACCGTGCGTACCGATTCCCCGGTCAAGATTTATTTAGGAGTTTCCCATCGGAGATCGTTCAAAGCTCTGTTTGTAAAGCGGATTCCTCGAAGTTGTAACTCATCGGTGTACTTCTGTTTTAGTTGCTACAGAGTGATCTGAGCCCAATTCCGCCGTTCTAAGCAACCCCAAAATTTTAATGGGACTTTTCCTGATCAAAGACCGAGTCAAACTGCGGCGGAGGGGGTATTATTATTATTAATATTACTGTTATTATTGATTCTGGCTCTTATCATATTTATGGGGAAATCTACCACACTCCTCGTGAACTGTACGGAGAAGAAAACACCTCTGAAAATGTAGCTCGCAAAAACATTTGCAACGTTGATATACTGTATCTGACTTCTTAAATTCCGTCTTTTCCTTCATCACATGTTTGGTAACGGAGGAACTTTCTGTTGTGCGCTTGAACATACTATTTATTTTTAATATTTGGATTTTTTTTTTACAATAAATATTTATAAACGTATCAATTCTAGGGTTATTTTTACAAATGTGCACTTTTAAAAATATGTGTTTGTACCGACGATGCCGAGCCGCTCCCAGAGCGCTGTAATTCGTCCTTCTGTTGGTTTTATATTCGTTGAAAAAGATTTCTCGAAGCGGTGTACTGTCAATGTGGTGTACGATATAAGGCGTGTTTTTTTGTTGGTCTTTATCCTCTCCTAATGTTAATCGTTTTAGGTTGGCATTTGCATTAAAAGAACAAAACCAAACCAAAGCACCTCTTTGGCTTCATTTCGGGGATAGTTTTTTTTTGTTTTGTTTCGTTTTTCAGAGAAAGAGATTCCAATGAATTCTATAAACATTGCCCGAAGTGCAGCGTGCAAATGTAGATCCCAGTGCCCTGAGTTTTCCCCAACGAGCCCCGTCCCTTTCTTGTCTGCCCCGCACTCCGCGGTTCCGGGCGGGCAGCTCCGCTCTCGGGAGGTCCCCGACCGCCGGGGATGGGCGCGGGGCTCCTGGCAGAGCCCCCCCAGCTCCGCTGCTCCTGCCTCTGTCCCACGGTGTGTGTTCTCTTGGCAGGAAGGCGTGGGATAACATTGTTTGAGGAAATATCCCCCTAAAATGAGCCCTGACACAGTGCCACTTATTTCATTTGATGAGTATTTGTATGTATATATCTAAGAGAGGAAATGAATTCATCAGGTGAAGTAGCACGAAGATAACCCTTCCGGGCCATACGAATTGCACCGACTGATTTTGACGCCCTGCAGCTCCCGGCTCGCTCAGAATCCCCTTGGCAGGGCTGCTCAGAGCCCAGCTTTGCCATTTGGGTGAATGCAGCCCTGGGCACAGCAGCCCCAACCCCGGCCGGTGTAGTGCGCATGCGCGCTGCCTTTACCTTTTTTTTTTTTTTTCCCAATGGAAAACTTGAAAGAAGTTGACTAACACACGGAGATGACAAAAAGTTGGCTTTGGGTGGCACGAATATTGTCACTAAGAATGCGCTTGACTACAGAAAGGGAGAGAATGAAAGAAAGTAAAGAATTACAGGAAGAAAGGAATGAAAGAAAAAGAGAGGAAAACATTTTTGCTGATGTGTAGAAGACAAAAAAAAAAAAAAAAAAAAGGCACAAAAAGGCAGGGGGGGCTAACAGTACATGCTAATTAAAGAATACAATTCTATGGTCTCTAATGATTGAGCGAAGACATGTACTTATTGCACTTGACTGTCAACAAGGGAAGGAATGTCCCCTCAGACAGCATGGTGAGAGACGTGTGGGCATTATTAGTGGCCCTTTAAAGACATTGCCTTTTCTTTCTCAATGCTGACAAACCATTTTGGAGGGAACCATCCCCTGTTGCTTCCTATCATCGATCCCCGTGCAAGCCTCTGCATTGTGCAAGTGCATTAATTAAAGACCATTCATTTAACAAAAGCACATTGTATGTTCAGGAAAGGAAGATTAGAAATATGAATCAGTAACCAAAGCCCATTTCCTCCACGATATCGGGAGAAACGGAGGGGCGGGAGGGGCTGTCAGACACGCCGAATAGGACTGAGCAGTTTGGGACAGAAGCCCTGAACTGGTTTACATTGCCAAGAACCCGTTGTCGATGTCTGAACATGCAGCGTTCTGCCCGGCCCTCCCCTCTCCTTTCCGAGGGGTCGGACCCGCAGTGACCCGGGGCTGAGCCCCTGCCCGGGGACCATCACCCCAAATGGGATTTTCCAGCTGTCTCCATACACACACACTAACGGGCACAGACACGCACACACGCTTACTCATCCTTCCCCATCCCTTCGCTGTCTCGATTTTTACAGCCCAAAGGGAAGCCCAGCTGGTCCGGCCAGGCCGGCTGCGACAGGCGCGTGGCTTATCGCGATAAGGTGGAAGAGGAGCGCGGAGGTTACGCGGGGGAAGGAGAGAAGCCGGCTCCCCAGCATCGCCCACATGACTGCTAAGCGGCTCCAGCTTCGCTAAAACCTCTGGGCCATATGTTAGTTTATTTATACCCTTTGTCTTTTCCCGTGTCGCCTGGTGCAAGGATATTCCTGGGATACAAATGAAAGTAAGCAAGAGTGAACAAACAAGGGAGTGTCTGCTAAAGGGATGTGTAACATCGCACAGATCCCAACAGAGCACGGCGTTCCCATGGTTATAAAAGGGCCAGAATAGCAATTAAAGCTTTTAGTTAAAACTCTCAGATTTTTAATGCTGACTGACAGAATGACTCCATTTTTCTTGTGGATGATTTAGAGTTTTTTACGATTACTCTGGGGAAGGAGAAGAAGGCGGGGGGGGGGACTACGACGACGACGACGACAAAAGTCACCGCAAAAACAACTCTTTCACATAAGAAAAAGAAAAAAATATATCACGAGAGATCAAGGTGTTCCTAATGATGGCAACAGCATACAAAAGCCTCCACAGTTCCTCATCGTGTTCTGAGCGGTCCGAGGAATGGGAGAGGATTGGGACCCGCGGCTCCGGGCATCGGGCTCCTTCCTCAGCCGCGGCTGGGAGCACGTTGGGCAACGATGAAATACCTTTTATTTTATTTTCTTTTGATTTGATTTTCACAAAAATAAACAGGACGCCCAATAAAATCGGCTATTTAATCTTTCCCTTCTCAGGTCAATGCCACCCAGAAGATCGGCTCCTCACTGCTGCCAAACCTTCTCAGGGTCGCTGTGGCGGTGATGAGCGGACGTGGGGAGCCACCCCGGCGTGCACGGGGTTGGGTGAGGGTCCCGAGAGCGTTTCCCGACGGCACTGCTCTGCCAGCGGTCCCTGCCCCCACTCTGCTGCCCCTCGGGATACCTGCTAGAGCCCTCCCTGAAGCCAAACAAAAGCGCACATCTCCCCCTTTCCCCCATCCCTTCCTCCCCACCCAGCAGTTTTGGAAGACAAAAAAAAAAAAAAAAAAAAAAGTATTCTCCAACTTTTGACTAGCCTCTGCTGGCTTAAATTATCCTTTATCATGGGGGGCAACAGTGTAGCAATGGAAGCTCCTGCGGGCGGCGGGGAAACGGGGTGCAGCTGAACTCGGGCTGCTCTGCCGCTGCCCTGCTGCTCCTCCAGGGCCGGGGGTGGTGGGGCTGGAAGTCCTGGAAGGGAACTCAGAGGGAGGGCTCGAGGGGGAGGTTTTGTTCTCTCTACCTGAAGACTGATTAATCCTCGCATATAGCTGATAAAGATGAAGATCTTGCTGGGAGAACGGGGAAAAATCGGTAGGAAAAGGAGTCACTGGATTGTTATTGTCTGGAAAGCGGGCCACCTTTAAAAACCTGTTGTAGAAATACAGAGACTCCTTTAAGTGTGAAATATCATTTCATTGTAAATAGCCAAAAAAAGAGTCGGTAATCCAACTTCCGGAAACTGTTCTGAATTATTTCAGCAGACTCTTTTAAAAGGGGATTAGCAGGGCTTTAGGGGCAAAATCCTTCTGTTTTATTCAATCTCTGATTTTATGTTATAATTACTAGATGTAAAGACTCGCGAATTAGTATGCAGGCGTCGTCCAGACATTATGCAGGTGCTATTCTAATCATTCAGCTTTTTAATTAAGGAACGAGGTAAGAAAACAGAATCATAAAAACACTTTTGTGAGAGCTGAGAAAATCGTGAGCGACTGCATGAATAAAGCCTTTATACCTTATCCTGACAGGTCAGACACCAATTGCCTGACTTACGACCTTTTCTTGCTGAAACAATGGTTAACAGCTTTCTCACCTTGTTCCCATTATATCCTTTATTCTCGGAGAGAATTTATGGAAATGGCCCCCAAATGCTTACACTAAAGAGGGATGCAGAAAGGTATTGCAATTTTAATTGGTGCGCGTCCCGAGTAAAGATACTTTCTTTGTGGGTCGTTCTGAGGGTCTCCGTCCGGCACGGGAATTTGGGCGGACCGAGGTGGTTTGATGGGGAGCACAGCAACCCAGCGCCGCTGGAAGTTGCCGGGATGCCCGGGCAGCCGGATCGGCGGGGCCGGCGCCGGTCCCCCTTTGTTCAGCGCATCACAAGGCATCGTGCTCCTTGATCCCGCAATGCAAACTTCAAGCCTTTGTGGTCTTTGTTATTATTATTTAATTTCTTTCCCTCGCCTTCCTCCTCACCC